TTTGTTAATATAAAGCTACTACATTAAATTATTGTTTTATTAACGGGTTTAAAAAAAAGTTTGGCATGCCACATTGAAAAAAATGACTTTTGTTAATTGATGGGTAGGATTTTGTTTATGGACGTATTGGATTTCAAGTATCAAACTTCATCTAAATATATTAATAAAATAATAATTTAATGATTTATCAATTTATCAAAAATAAAATGGAAGAATTTAAAAGATTGAATATCAGATTGTGAATGGACTAAGAAGAGGGACCGATATTTATATTTAGCTCATATATGACGTGTTGGCATTGACATGCATTTAATTCTTAAGGCATGATATATTGCTCCATTTTTTGAAGATGAATTTTATATAAATAAATTAGAGGGTAAATCAAATTTTTATCTTGTATTTGGCAGCGTGAGTCAATTTTTATCATAAACTTTATCATCAAATCAAATCTTTGATTTAGATGAATATTGTAATTTTTAGTGGTTCGATATGATTGTACTTATATTTGTACTGGTTTCATAAACGTTGAATCCATGAAATGAAATGTTTAAAATAAAAATTGCCTAACCTCGTCAATTTGATCCAGAGTAAAAATTTATTTATTTATTTTTTCTAATAAACTATTAGGAAAATAATTTATTTTTCCTCTCATATTTAATTCAGAGTCAAATTTATTTGTAAATTTTAAATTTGATTAAATTGAACTCTACACTTAAATTAAGTTGTGAAATTAATAATTTATACACTCTTTTTGGTATGAAAGAAATCACTTTCATTTGGAAGGACAAGGAATCTGTCCATACATCTTTTTCTAAAGGGTTTTCCATATCACAATTTCTTAGAATCTTAGGTCTCACTTTCTACTCACTTTCTAAGTGCTTTTATTCAATTATTTATTTACTTCACGACAATTTGATTATGTTATGCTATTTTTGCTATTCAGGATAAAACTTGGCTCCTGAAGATTTCCTGAAGATTTACGAGCACGTCCTCCTGAATGCCTACATGGTCAACAAACTTCAATATTTATCTCCTATTTTTTCTATTGAAGAGATATATATGAGATTTAAATTTTAATAAAATAATAGAAAAATCTAAAAACAATAAAGGTCAATTTTCTATTGGACCATGTGAGGATGGTGGTCGTGAATCTTCTAGATTAAGTATTTTCCTCCCATTTTTTTGTCCTTTCATTTTTCTCTCTCATCCATATTTTTTTTATTTCCTCTCTCCTCCAACTTCTTATTCTTCATTTTTTTCTCTCTTATTCATTTGTCTTGTCTTTTTTTTATTCAATTTAATGTGTCGTTTTGTATTTAAAAAACATGAGAAACAAAGATAAATTAAAAGACAAATATTTCTTTAAAAAAGAAGTTAAATTTTCTACCTAAGGATTGTGAAAAACATACCCAGTTTTATTTGTGGTAGGAAAAAAACATAAGAATTTTTTTTTAACAATGAAAATAATATCCCTTTTGAAATAGTATTCAAAAGATACAGTAAAATATCTCAAAAAAAAAAAGATACAGTAAAAAAAATATTATTTAAAAAAAAGATAAGGTAAAATTGATTTTTTTTAACGAAAATTTGAATTGAAATATATAGTTAGAGATAAAATGAGAATAGAGAGAAAATGAGGGGATTGTGATGCAACACGGAAAGAGGAAGAGACAAAATTAGCTTGAGAAATGATACTATTGAATTTAAATAAAATATTTAATTTGTTAGTAATTGGTTATTAAGTGTGAGTAACACACTTTGTAAATTTACAAACCTATCACTCAATTTGATTATCTGATTTCCAATTTTCATCCCCACACAAAACAAATATATTTCTTAATCTAAATATTTTTATTTTTGACATTTTTTTAAAATCTAAAGTTAGTGTAGAGAAAAAATAATCCAATATATATATTTTTTAAATGAGACCGATGATGTTTTTTAATGAGATGATGTTTTGATTATCTGAAGATTGTAAGATCTACCTGCAACTTAATTGTTCTTGGACCAAATCTAAGCATAAGTCAACTTCTAGTTAAGACACCCATTTCCGACCAAGAGACCATGAGTTCGAATCTCCACTCCAACATGTTGTACTTAAAAAAAAAACTGAATCGTTCTTTATTTTCCTTCATATTTCCGTATTTCACATGATTAACCAAATTGATTTATTGATATTAAATTATTAATATTGCATATTATCAATTGGAATGTTGAATCTATTGTTCAAATATTGGTAAAGTAGTATTTTTTTTTTTATAATTACGATATGAAAGTATATAATCTAGTATAAATGAATCGAACATTTTGTATTTGTTGACTAGAATCGGTGATCGTTCTAGATTTAGTGCATGTTTTAAGTATCTAGTCTATGATATTAACTTTTTGGTGCAAAATATAGTAGAGATAAGATTTCCAGAGTCCATTGAATTATTCTAAGTTGAACTAAAACCGATATCAAAGGATGATTTAGGCTACTATACAACCCTTCATAGAGGACAAGTGGTACAGCCAAGGAAAGGCAAAGCAAGAGGGATACCTCACAATCCTCCCAATAATAAGTTTTGGAGATCTCCTTGACTTAACATTTCACAAATTTAGAGAGAGAGAGAAAAAAAGTGGCCCATTTGAAAGGATGAGGCATGTAGTTGCTAAAGATCGCCACGATGGTTCCAATGGGAAACGCCATAACCATTCAATTAACAAGATCTTGTTATGAAGTCTAAGATTGCCTATCCTCAAACTCTCGAACTCTAAACACGGTCCCACCTACCAATCGGGTGCCTCCATCCTCATTTACTACCTCCCAAAGAAAATCTCTCATGAGCTTTTCAGAAGGGTGGCAAGCTCTTACTGACAGAAGAGGGAATCCTAAAAAGAGACAGGAAAAAAAAGAAATACTGGTCAACATCGATTGAGTGAGAGTTAAGGCTTTCTTCCAAGTGGCGAGACACCATTGGACCCTCTCGAAGATGTGATTTAAAAAATATGACCCAAACGAAGCTAAAGATAGGACGAGAGGGAAGATTTATAATGTTATAACACGCCACCGAGGCACATTGGGAGACCTTAAAATGATCACAATTAATACCAATGACCAAACTTTTTTTGCCTCGATTAATTTTAAGATCTGAAATTATATCAAATAAAAACATAAACTAATTTAACAAAGACTCTTCTTAACTGAAAAAAAAAAAAGAACAACCATCATTGACAAACTAGTGATGCAAATGATACTCTATCCTTCCCCTCCACTTGCCTAGAAACAAATCTACTAAGAATGCCAACGACTAGGAGGAACAGAAAATAAGACAGGGATCACCTTGCCTCATACCTCTTAATACTATGAATCCAAACTCGCAACCTCTTGTTAACCAGATTAAAGAATCTCACATTCCTCGTACAACTCCACATCCAACGTCTTCATTTAAAGCCAAACCTTTTTTCCGCATAACCTTATCCAAAAAATCCAGATGGTCGTTTCTCAAAATCAATCTTGAAAAGGATGCCTTCTTGATTGCACCTCCTATGATCTTCCATAGCATCATTAGTAATAAGAACTCAGTTCAAAATTTGTCTCCTATCTAACAACCATCCCATGACCATTTGAAACCGTGCTAGGCAAATTTCCCTTAACCAGTTAGCCAAACACCTTCACAATAATCTTATAAAGGCTTGTGACCATATTGATGAGTAAAGTCTTTCACTTTCCTACCTCTCCTCCAGCAAACAAATGTTTCATCCATCTAAGCATCGATAATGTCTCTTTCTAAAAACTTAAGAAGACCATCTACAACTTTCCTCATCTCTCAGTTATCTTGAAGAAGGACCCTAGAGAATCCATTTGAATAGGCAACTATGAGAGTCCTTGTAAGGATGGTTTAAAAATATTATTAGTATATTAGTAAGAGTATTATGGTAATTAGTTAGGGGTGAGTCCTTGTAAATAAGGGTAGCAAGGAGAGGAGAATGATATCGAGGGATATAGTTTGTGGTGAGGAACTTGAGAGAGTTCTTGGGAGAGAGATAGCCCTCTAAAAAAGCTATTGATATTGTAATTTCTCTTTGGATATTGCAATATAGTTACATAGTTCCGTGAGTACATTCAAGTTCCTTACAAAAGACCATCTCTCTCCCAAGAACTCTCAAGTTCCTCACAAACTATTTCCCCCCATATCCTTCTCCTCTCCCTACTACCCTGATTTATAAGGACTCACCCCTAACTAATGACCATAATACCCTCTTACTAATATACTAATAATATTTCCGAACTATCCCTACAAGGACTCTCACAGCAACTTATTGCACTCAAAATCGAAAACTACCTCTCTGATCCCCTTGAACGAAAAATGAGCTTCTAAGCCTCCCTCTCTACATCTTAGATATGACACCAATCTAAACCCTACAAGGAAAGGCCTAGGAGTAGTAGGCAGTAAAAGAAAAGGATCTCTACCTTTAGCACGATCCCCTCGAACCCCTCTAAGAACTCGCGACCCTCGGTATCCAAGGATTCAAGAAAAGTTTTGCTCTTTCTACTAGCCAACTTATAGAAGGAGCTACAATCACCTTCTTTGACTCACTTTCACTCTAGCTTTTTACCTCCAACACCGATCCTCTCTTTAAGTGATCTCTTCAAAACCCCTCCTCCAAAGGTGGCTAATTTCCTCGTTAAACAAGAGCACTCCCATTTTCCCTTCGATGGTGACGCCCCATCAAGATTGAATAACTACATTCTACAGTTTAACGTCGACAAAAGTCCCATTCAAGTAAACAGAGTTAGTTTCTTTAACATCAAATCAATATTTCAGTCTAGAAAGAAAATGAAATAGAATACTCCGACGAGCCTAAGGGGAAAAGAGATATCAAGAAAGGAAATTTCTTAAGATCTAAGACCCCAATCCCTTTCAGGGCCAAATACCTCCTACCTCTGCCACAGGAATCCACAAGAATGTGAAGAAACCTGAGAAAAAATAAAACAAGACGTTCTGACAATATGAGAATGAAAATAAATGAAACCTGAACCATATTCTATAAATTTCTCATTCAGAAGATCCACACACTTGCCAATCTACAGAGAGTATTGAGTTCTAAGAAAAAAGAAAAAAAAGGAAACAAACCACTGTTTAGAACAGCATAATAAATGACAAAACAAAGGTATTGGCAACTTCCAGTTTTTTCAGGTCCTGTTATAAAGAAACCCTTTACAGATAGAAAGACCTAAAGAAATTTCCAACAAAGAAAAGGCCATTGGTAGCCAGGAACTTGTGCACATTCACCTGGGTCATAAAACTTAGCGATCTCCGAATTAGTAATGTGAATCATGTGAAGGACTATCAGCATGCATGTCCATCGACGAGTCGTTAGAGCTGACTGAATTAGGATCCGCACTTTGGTGCTGAAGAAAGTTGGGTTCATTGTTTCGAGTGGCTCCATTTCCCCCAGACATCCCTCCATTGTTTGGGTAGTGAGCTTCCTGAGCTATGTGATATTGCTGCAAACCCCTGCGAACTGGGCTTGACAGAGCATTTGAGAAGACTGAGCTTTTGTTATCAGAATGCTCGGTTCGACTTCCTTGTCCGGTAGTTGCTGGCCCAGAAAGACCCGAAGCTGGAAAGCTCGAGTTTGTGAATTGCATGGTTTGTTGAGCATGCTGATGTTGGTGGACTGCTGCTCTAGGGGACATTGATGGTTCCTCTCCACAGTAATCCAACTCGTTCTGCAAGTCAGTATGGAATTCAGAAAACTCATACAGCTAAAGAGAATAAGCACAACTTTTTGCTTCATGCATTAAACTCTACCACAAATGCAAATTACTGCCATAGCAATTCTTCAATTTCTCCTAAACTCTTTACAAATGCAACTTAACAATTTCACTCTAAACAGAAAAGAAAGTAAAACTTTTTTATTATTAATTTTTCTCCATCCCTCATATCATATCTGAAGGAGTGTTTAAGTCATTGGAAAGGTGAGAAAGAATATACAAGAGTATAAAAAATACAATTCAACAAAAGGAGTCAAATAATACAATTCAGTTTGCCATAACATTATCATTAGCTAGTTTGTAACTACAAGAACTAGAAAGAAAACTCCCAGATGAAGAAACAAAAGACCTAGTGGAAAATCACTCGCCAATGTCTATACAAATCCTGAAAAATTCTACAATTTATTTTCAACTAATTCTCCCAAAGTAATGCACAAATAGCATTCCTTCCTAAACGGTAAGTAGAGTTTCCAAACCGGACCACCAAGAAGCATAATAAGAGTTGTTTTCACATTGTCACGAGAGCCTTATAATTAAGGATACCAAAATGTTAACGTGAAGTTATGATCCAAAAAATGTGATTTGCCGATCCAAAGAAAAATCCCTAGCTTCCTCCTACTTTGGATAACTCAAAAACCAACACAACTTTTCATTTTTAGTAATAATTAGCTTTCGAAATCAACTTACAGAATGAACTAGGTAAGACTTCCTCCCTATTATTAAGGTCGTCCAAGTAGGATTTAGCAATGAAACTCCCGGAAGCATCAAGTGTCTCATATCCACTTGAGAATAGGGCTGGAAATACCAATTAAGGCACTCCTCTCTCATCAATTAAAGCTCCCCTGAAGTTGAGATTTCACCAAAGGCTCCCGTTATGCCACAAGGAAGAAATATAGCAACCTTTACTACCAGCGAGTTCAGCCTAGAGAAAGCAGAAGAAAAGGCAGCTTGCTCATACTGAGTATCTAATTTCACATGAGAACCACTTCCAGCCACTTACACAAACCCTGAGTTTAAGAGATCTTTCAATTTCAAAATGATGAACCACTGGCTTCAAAAGCTCGCATAAGAAGAATAACATGTTAACCATCCAGACTCGTCAGTCCATTGTTGGTACTAAAACCTCATGTCATAAGTATGTTCATTGCTAAAATCTCCAAAGCCACTTTGTAACTAAGCTTCTATTCTTTTATATATCCAGTTCCCATACCACCTTTATCCCGGTCCCAGGGGAACAAAGCATCCTTCCAATTCACAAGATGAGCATCACCTTCCAAAGCCCCCTTCTCCTACCACGAAGGAATCCCTGATGAGCTTATCAAGCTTTTTAGTAGACATGATAGGAGCCTAGACAGATAGAAAGTACAGTGGGAGGTTTGCAAGAACAGTCTTACCAATGTAAGTCTACCCCCGCAAGAGTTCCATCCTTTCCTCCATTTACTGGTTTTTTTACATAAACTTCTCAGTTACGGGTTCCTATTGTGCAAAACTTCTCAGATTCCCCACAAACATAAGCCCCAAATAAGTTGCAGGCGAAGCTCTCACTTTACAGTCCCAGAGATTTGCCAGGCCCACCAAAAAATGCTGCTGAACGTTACCCCCAAAACCACTGATCTAGGCTGAAATCAAAGAAGTTTTCAGTAAATTCATTATTCAGCCACTTATTTAACTCATTTCCCTTGCAGAAAGAGGTTTTTCAGCTTTATGAAAAACCAATTGTCCTAAAAGAATGAACATTCTGATCTGGATTCTTTTAAACAGCAGCAGCATTAATGCGATGGATGTTCTTAAATGGAAGCTTTCTTATTCTCAGCTTTTGCCTTCAGTTTGTTTCCTCTGTTTTGCAGATTCTGAAAACCAAAATCACCTCCTTTTTGGCTGTTCTTTGTCCCTGAAGTGCTGGTTCTGGGTTTTAAAAAAGTTTTGGATTCTTTGGGCCTTCTCAAATGACTACAAGAATAATGTTTTGAATCTCTTGGTTGGGCCGTCTCTATCACCAAAAGCTCATCCAACAAAGTCAAAGCTAATAGTTCAGAATTATGGTTGGAACGTAACCATATAATCTTTCAAAAAAAGATTTGCTGCTCATTGGATCAGTTTGACATGGCTTCTTAAAGAGCCTCACAGTAGCGTTCTCTTTCTAATACTTTTTTGGACTATAATTTTGTTGATATTTCCTTAAACTGGGAAGCATTTATTTTTGTTGATTAGATTCTTTAGGCTCTTCGGTTTTGCCCTTGTATTTGGGCAGTTTCGGTTATTTTCTAGTTTCTGTCCTTGTAATCCTTTGTTTTTTCCTTTTGTTTTAATTACTTTTTTGGACTATAATTTTGTTGATATTTCCTTAAACTGGGAAGCATTTATTTTCGTTGATTAGATTCTTTAAGCTCTTCGGTTTTGCCCTTGTATTTGGGCAGTTTCGGTTATTTTCTAGTTTCTGTCCTTGTAATCCTTTGTTTTTTCCTTTTCTTTTAATTACATCAATGAAAATTATCGTTTGTTTCCAAAAAAGTTCCATCCAGTGTAGCAGATTCAAAACTTTGCCATTATCTGAGGAAGCAAAAAACCAAGTACCGTGTACACAAATTGAAGATTCATTAGAGGGACACAATGTCTTCCAATATAAAAGACTTCAATAAAGGAATATTGTAGCCTTTTACCTATAATAATTCCACCAAAACAATCTGCCACTAACGTGAGTATATAAATGAGATAGAGGGTCACATCTTGACAAATTCCCTAGGAGGTAAGTTCCTAACCGTAGACTTGTTGATGATGATGGAGAAGTTTAAGGAACACAACCCTTGCATCCATCTTCTCCAAACCAAATCAAAATCCATTTTCAAAAAAGATAGCATCTAAAAAGTTTCAACCCAGCTTCTTATAGTCAAATGCTACAGGCAAATCATCCTTTTACATTCTTTACTTTAGGTCACCTGTATACTTGTCTATGTATATCCTTTAGGGGTCGATTGGGGTGCAGGTTCGACATTAGTAGCCTCGAAATGTTAAGCCTGAGGTAGATTTCGGGATGTTATGATGCATGGAATTGGGAAGCATGTGTCCGGGGGCAAGAATAAGTAGTCTGAGATTTGATAACAATGTGTTTGGGGAGAGAGATTAACTCTCATTCAAACAGTTTTAAGTGGGATTCCGGCGTACTACTTCTCCCTAATTAAAGCACCTGTGGTTGTTTGTAAGAGTTTGGAAAAATTTATGAGAGATTTCTTGTGGGAGGGGGTGGGTGAGTGGGGTGGAGCTCACATAGTTGGGAGATTGTTTCCAAGCCGTTATAGGCAGGAGGTCTGGGCATTGGGAACCTAAGACATAGAAATGATGCACTTTTAGCTAAATGGTTATGGCGGTTCTTCCAATAACCTAGTGCCTTGTGGCGGAGGATTATCGTGAGCAAGTATGGGCCACACCCCTTTGATTGGGTCTCAGATGAAGGGCTTAAGGTTTGTCACCGTTTGTGCGAATAACCCCCGGAAGGCTATCTCCTCAGGTTTTCCTTTCTTCTCTCAATTTTTGTCTTGTGTTGTTGGGGATGGTCATGACACTTATTACTGGGAGGATCTCTGAGTGGGAGAAAAGGCTCTTTGTTCTTTATATCCTCGCCTTTTTCGCTTATCGGATAGGAGGTTGCTTTCAGTGGCCTTGGTGCTATGGGTTAGGGGGGAATGGTTGTCCATTTCCTTAGTCTCAGTCAGTCTTTGACTGACAAAAAGGCTCGGAAAGCAATTGAGTTGCTCCACTTGCTATCTGATGTTTCTTTCTCTTGTGCTAGGAATGACTTTCGTGCTTGGTCCTCTAATCCGTCTAAGGGTTTCTCCTCTAGCTTCTTCTTTAATCTTTTATGTTCCCCAGATTCTCCCCCGCGGCCCCAGTGTTTGTCTCGCTTTGGAAGATGAAAATTCCAAAGAAGATTAAGTTTTTCTGGGACAGGTCTTACTCGAGAAGTGAACACCCTGGATTGTATTTATAAGCACTCTCCTTCCTGCTTGGGGCTACAATGGTGTGTTCTTTGCAAGCGGGATTCTGAAGATCTCGATCACATCTTATGACATTGCCAATTCTCCCAGGACATTTGGGTCCGACTTTTTGAGACTTTCGAGGTTTCTTGGGTTCGTCATAGAGATTGAGGGACTATGGTGGAGGAAGTGCTTTTGTACTCTCCTTCCCGCAAAAAAGGGAGGTTTTTGTGGCAAGCTTTTTTCTTTGCGATTTTGTGGGGGATTTGGTTGGAAAGAAACAACAAAATCTTTAGGGGGGTGGAGAGAGATTGAGAGTCTTTTCGGGATCTCATTAGACTTAATGTCTCCTTATAGAGTTCTGTTTCGAATTTGTTTTGTAATTACTAGTTAGGTTCTATTCTTTTGGATTGGAAGCCCTTTCTGGGTTCCTCCTTCTGGACTTTTGTTTTTGTATGCCCTTGTATATGTCTTTTGGTTTCATTCACAATGAAAAGCTCGGTTTCTTATCAAAAAAAAAAATAAAAAATAACTTATGTTTGGGGTGCAGGAATGTGTCGCCCAAGTTTGGGCTTCTTTTCTAATTTCTTTTTCTAAAACTAGCCCACCCTTTTACAATATTGTATTTCATTTTCTAAATTAAAAAATAATAAAAAAAAGTAAAAAAAAAAAGAAAAAAGAAAAAGAGATGGTTAGTAACCCATGGGTTGAATAGTATTTACTATTAAACCCCATGGGATTATGTTTGGCTTAGGAGGCCAAGGTTCCCAAACCCATGATTCCAAACCACCTCATTCCAACCCCTCCCCCAAACACCCTTTGAGTGAATGAATGTAATAGAAAATTGATTCTCTCAAACCTTTAGTCTTTAAATTAACCATATACTCCCAAAAAAAAAAAAAAACCCTAACAAATTTCAACCAAATAAGCTTCTTTTCCTTTTTAAATGAGTGGCCAGAAAGGGTGATTGAAAGAAGAGAAGGATCATTTGGTAGGGCCATAGACCATCCAAAAGCTGCTAAAATCACGCCCAAAAAGCTGCTGCAAAATTCACAGAAAATGAAGATGTAACATTGGGTTTCAGAGCTGCATTTGCAAATGGAGCACCAATGGGGAGAACGTTCATACATTGTAGTTTATTGTGGGTATTGATGGTTTTGTGGCTGACTTCCCAAAGAAAAATCTCACCTTCTTTGGATAGTGGTCTTTCCAAATAGCTTCATATAAGAAAGGGGCTACATATTCCCTAGTTTCGGAGAGATCACAGAGAGGAAAGAGCGAAGATCATCAAATATTTTCCGACCTCTAGGTATACTCTCTAAAGAATTTAGATTATATTCACTTAATGTTATCAATTCTAGATGAGATGTCTAATATTAATTTTCTATTCAGACTTCATTAATGAGGTAAGCTATTGTACTTCTAATGGAAGGATGTAAACTTTTGTAACTATTCAAATATCGAAAGAAAGGTTTCTGTTTCATGTTTTCTATTTTCTAAAAATGTCTATCTGATATACCTAATATAACATGAAGCATGACAAATAAACTCAAATGGTTAAACCAAGACTGCAAATCAAAGAAAAAATTCAAGTTTACCCGTATGTAATTGAGTACATCAGCTGTTGTCACTCTAGATCCGCCTTCTTGTTGTCTAAACATCCATTGATAGAGTTTTTCCTGAAAAAAGCATCAGGTAAGATAACATATGTTAGTAAAACAAGAAGTGTCGTATTTTTGCAAATATATAGTATCACATTAGCAAAACTAACCATCATGGGATGACTTAGTGGTCAATAAGGGCAAATGTAAACAGCAAAGGGCTTAGAGGGAATGGGTTCAAACCATGGTGACCACCTACCTAGGATTTAATATCCTACGAGTTACTTTGTCAACCAAATGTAGTAGGATCAGGCGGTTGACCCGTGACACACGGATCAAATAAAAAAAAACATTAGCAAAACTAAAACTAAAGGCAGTACAACTATGGCTGTTCTTTTGAATGAACATAAGTGTTAACACTTGCAACTAGCTAATTGAGCTACAACTTATGATTTCGTGACCAGCAACTATAAATCCTTTCTTGCTCCAATGAACTGATAAAGTACCTAGTCCACTTAACAAAGTTTAATTTTTCATAAGTTAACCAAAAGCTAATAGTAAAAACTGCTTTATAGCTTCTAGTATTTTATAGCCCATGTGTTTTAAAGCATGAGGCATACTATAAATTAAAGTGAGGACTTTTCTTTAATGAAGCACATAAGAAAAATGTGAATTTAAAATTTATATAAGTAACCATATAGTATTGTGAATAATGAGAAAATTAAAAATTAAAGAAATGGGGGATTTTCCAAGAAGTTTTTTGAGATACAAGCTTGGGCAAACTATTTTATTTTTTTGAGCAATGTAGAAAAATAAAAAAAACGGTGCACCTTGGTTCAAAAGGCATGCAACTAAATTAGGATACCTCGCTATAGAGACGAGGTGCCTAATACCTATGCATGCCTTCTTAATAGTGCTTGGCACTTCAGCTTAAAAGAAAAAGACTTGTAAGCCCACAATAAAAATATAAAATTATAAATTCTACACATGAAAAATATAGTACTGAAAAAGCTAATGAAAAATAAATGAGGACTTTTCAAAGAGGTTCAATTATGATTTTACAAAACATATTTCTTATTTATTTTGAAAAGAATTAAAAAACAATAAAAGAAATCAGGCGTATCGGTATTGCGGTGGTGCCTCAGTGAGAGCAACTTATCCCATGGAGCATACCTTTTAAACCAGAACTTCCTGGCTAAAACCCATTCTACCATCCACTACAACTTTGAAGGAAGAATTTTTCTAAACTTCTATCTCCCTACATAATAGCATCCCAAGGACATCTTGAATAGAATCAAGCTATGGAACTTGTGAAACAGCCAACCTCTTCCTTCCCATATCTTCTAGAAACTGATTCCTGCACAAGGGGAATCATCCTTGCTCAGGAATCTCCATATCTATTTAGGTGGAAGGGAGATGTACCTTCCTCCTAATAGTTGCAATGGCAAGGCCTTTCATACCCAACCAACTAGATGAGATGGAAACATTGTCCTCCAATTTATCAAGTGAGTTCTCCCTAACCTGCGCCCTAGAAAACACTTTCATACATTTTCAATCAAATCTTCGAGTTTTCTTTGAATTTTAAAGAGAAAAATAGATACTTTTTAGTAAAAGAGTTATTATTTGAACAAGGAAACCAACTTTAAAGATATATGTTAGTATCAAAGGATCTAGAAAGGAGCACTAAAGATTAAATTCTGTATGTTAGTATATTTGCTCCCAAACGGAAATGTGCAAATAGGTGGCTGTTATCTTCTCTGCTAGAATGACAATTAGCACAAACTTGAAGAAGTATGGATGGGTGGGAACTCTTCCTGAATCCGAACCTTAGTGTTTCTAGGCACGGAGAGCGAGAGACCAAAAGAATGTTTTTAACTTTCTTGAAAGAAGATTCCTTGTTAACCAAATGATGAAGACTGCAACTCCTTTCCAAGAGACACAATGGCTTGCAACTTCCTTTAATCTCCTGTTGTTTAAGTTTCAACCACTTATTTCCTTTGAAATTCACGTACCATCTCCCACAAAATAATTCTTTGCACTCTATCATCACGAATAATTGAAGATTACCAATACTCCCTTTTAGTTTACCAATACTCCCTTTTAGTTAACGAAAGATGTCTAATTACAAAGAAAAATTCAAAGGGAACACCAAAAAGAGCAATAAAACTTAGGAAACTCAAATAATCATCCTACTCTTGTTCCTTCCCATTCAATATTTTGTAGTTCCTCTCTAGCCATATTCCCCCAGCCAAAGCCTTTGAAGAACCTTGTCATAAAAAATGTTGTATCCATTCAATATTTTTGCTTTCATTTGTTCCTTTTTCTCTCACTCCTATGGGAGTTTGTATTCTTGAACTTTTTCTCCTTTTCATATATCAATGAAAAGTTGTTTCTTGTTAAAAAAAAAATGTTGTAAAGCTAGGAAAGCAGGGAGTAAGAAAAGCCATGGGAGGTCCAATTGTTTCCTTAATTTGATCCTCTCATCATTACAAAAAGCCCATCTAATTCATCAACCATGTTTTGTTTTCCCAGTGTTCATCTATTCTCCAGTCCGCATTGTCCTCCATTTTTTGACCCATCTTCTTGATGTACTCATGTTTAGGACTAGCGTTAGAGTCATATGTAGAAAGGCAAAAAAGAACCAAACAAGAAAGGATCCAGAACACAATAAGCAAAGTTCAAGTCTAGGAATTTAGGATTTCAAAGAAATTTTAGAGTATGGTTTTAGAAACTAAAGCACAAAACGGTGGTTCAGCAGGAGATATCAATTCATCCGTTCAACCAAAAGCATCAGGAGTAGGTGCTTGTTAAGATAAAACCCCAGAAAGTTTCTTAACCAGACCTTGATTTTTATTTTCACAAAATCAAGACTTGGTTTCATTTCAATTTTCACTTTAGTAACCGTTCAACTATGCCTTGCATCCCTTTATAGTGAATACAATAGAATCCTTGTTCTGCTAGCATAACCATCAAACATCCCCTCTAAGAAGGAAGGATAAACACGAACCATTCAAATGCAAAACAAAAGGAAAACGTAGAACGTTTAACTCTAGTCATCCCCTTAACGAAGAAGAGATAAAAAGACCCTCGTAAAGATGTATGAACGATATATATATCCTCTATTACGAATCAAAAAGTAAAAGACAGAACAAATAATGGTGAAAAACTGTACAGCCACATTCGAGACTTCGATCGTATTTCACAATCCAATGCTCAGATTTTTAAGCAGAAATACGTATGATTCATGCTACCTAAATTCTCAGAAAACATGAAACTCCCGGGAATCTGCAACCAAGTTTTGTCAAAATGAGAACCCAGAATAAATACTGACGATTCAACCAACAACCACGTCCAACAAAATCAACATCAAGCACGCAAAACAGGGAAAAAGAAAAAGAAACCCGAGAAGGGACAGATTCAAAAGGGGGAACAGATGAAATTCCAGACCATGGCGTGACGTTCTCCGGCTTGGAAAGAAAACTTCTGGTGGTTCATAGACTGGGTGTAAAGCTGGGAGAGGGAGTTAGCCGCAGTGGAAAAAGAGGCGTACATGGTCCGATCTACCTCGTCGAGGCTGGTGGCGATAGATTTCCGCTTCTTGGCCATCACGGAGGGAGTATTCGGTATTCTCCGGTGACTGAAGCGTCCGATTCCGGCGTGTTGCCGGATTGTTCTTCCCCTTCACAGTGAGGATTTATGGAGGAGGATTGGGATTTGGAGAAGGGCAAAGGGCGAGTGGAGAGAGAATCGGGATGCTTGAAATTGGAATTGGAATTGGAATTGCAATTGCAATTGCATTCCCTATACAATACAACAAAGGAGTTGTGAGGTTGAGTGGAGGAAAAGGACTTATGGTAGCTTATCGTGGCAATGCTCTACATATGATTATTTCTTTAATTTCCTCTCCTCTTGCCATCTATAATCTTAGTGCCAAATTTGTATCAAATCAAATCAAATCTATTATTATAAAGTTAGAAAACAATATATATATATTTATATATTTAAATTTGACGTCGAATGCCAACCCAATCGTACAACAATATGTTGGGGTGGGAAATCGAACTCATGACCTCTTGGTCGGACATTGGTGCTTTAACTAGTTCGAACTAAGTTCCGATTAGCAATGACAAACCTATTATACTTCAATGTATCAAGATATTGCTAATTTTTCTTTAAAGATCTAGTTTTAAAATTCTATTTATTGTGAGCATATTTCAACGATTAGTATCTAGTTTTTCTCCGTCAGATATTTAAATCTTCACCCTTATATTTGTATTAAAAAATCTCTATCTGTCGTGTTTTAATTTACTGTACGACTTATCGAAGAATTTAAGGAAGGAGGGGTTTTGCCCAAGTACAACTCTTTTTATGTTGGGTTGTGAGTCGTCTGCCATTGAAAATTTTAATAAAAAGTCAAAGTCATACAAGATACACATGCACCACCTATATTATGAATTAATTCCGATGTGTTTTCGAACAACAAATATTGTAGGGTTAGGTGACTGTCCCGTGGAATTATTTGAAATGCGCATAAGCTGGCCCGATATTCACAAATTAAAAAAGAGGGAAGAAGAAAGAAAGATACACATATGCCAATTTTGCACTACTCTCAAGTCTAAGTCTAAGTGCTTGTTATGCCCCGAATGAATATTGAAAGTTTTCAACTATTTTTCATGTATGTCCTTTTTTCATTTTTTTACCCTTTTTTTTGCTTGTTTTTTTTGGTAACTTAACGTACGGTCAACCAAACACAACTTAAGTGGTCCTCAACTCCTAGTCGTTAAAGATCTCACATCAAAAAGATCAAGAGACTTTTATAAATACATGTATTACTCTCTTTTTACTGTGATTTTGAGATTGAATCTCATGAATATTAAGATGATATCAGAGTCCAACAAACTTAAACAAACATTCAATCTAAAAAAGACAGATTAAGGACCCCACATCGAACAAGATCAAATGACTTAACAAGATTGGTTTCTAGACGATGCTATGAAATATATATTTTTTATGATTTAGTTAATACTTGTGAAAAAAATAAAACAAGAGATGGAATTTGAAGGAAGGAGGTTGATATGCAAAAATCTCAACATAGTGAAAATGGAGTAGAGGTTGCAAAATAAAACAATGTAGCAACGAGTGGCGCATAACCATTGGCATCAAACCTGTGAAGTAACAAATAAGTAGGAAAAATTACATAGATTAAATAGTAATTAGAAGATATTTAAAAGATAATTAAGTTGATGGATGGAAAATATTTCGTTTTTAAGATTTAGGAGCACTTTCCTCCTGATTACCTACGTGGCCCAATAACATTAGATAAATGTTGTTTTTTTTCTTTTTTATTTATTAACTTTTAATATTTGCTATCTTGTCTCTTCTTCTCTCATTTTCTGTCTTGTATCACATCTCCTTCATTTTTATCCGTTCACATTTTATCTCTAATTATATATTTCAACTCAAATTTTGACTAAAAAAATTCAAATTTGCTATATCTTTTTTTTATACTATATCTCTTTAATACTATTTAAAAAAGAATATTTTTTCATTGTAAAAAAAAACTCTCTTTTTTTTCTGCTACAAATAAAATTTGGTATGTTTTTCACAATCCAAAGTACATTGGGCAGAAAATTTGACTTATTTTTTAAATGAATATTTGTCTTTTAATTTATCTTTGTTTCTCATGTCTTTTAAATACAAAATGATACGTTAAATTGAACAAAAATAGACCAGACAAATGAATAAGAGAATTACTTACGATTTTGTAAAATAAAAATATATTTTTTAAATGGACATAAAATTAGTGAGGCTGTGTTGAGGTAGAAGAGAGAAAAATGAAGAATAAGTTGGAGGGGAGAGGAAATAAAAAAAAATGGACTGAGAGAGAAAAATTAAAGGAGAAAAAAAAATAAGAGATAAATATTGAAGTTTGTTGACCACATAGGCATTCAGGAAGACATGCTCCTGAATTTTCGAGAGCCAAGTTTTGTCCAAATTGATTGGATAATGACCTTGACACACCATCCTAGGAATCGAGAAGTTGGTAAGCCTTTAGTCAAGATATTGGCAAGTTGATATTTAGATGACACATGTTGAACAACAAGATAGCAATCGAGTATGCGTTCACAAATAAAATGTTAAATCAATTTGGTTATGTTTTGTTTGTGCATGCATAACTTGATTGGTTGGCTGTGATGTAGGTGTCACTCCAACAATATACAGGTCTCGTCTTTCGAAGGGTCTCGTTTCGTAAGGTTCCTCCTCCGAATGAAATTCAATGGGATCCAAAAAGACCATGTCTTCATCCATAGGGTCCCAAGTACCTGGATMAATCGAACTTTCGATTCTATCTGAACTACTCATTTTCAAATGGTATATACATTGTTCACAAATATTCATTTTTGATTTCAAAACTTTCTTATAATTTAATTCATAACAATTTTCGCATTGAATCCACAAATGCCTGTATTTTTCAGTTACATCTAGATAATTAGAACTTTATGTTCTAGTTAAATCACTTCCATCCGTGCTAGTTCTTATATTGGAACTCTCACTTTCACTATTATTTCCACCTTCACCACAAATGTAACTATAAATGTAATGTCACTGTAATTGTGAATACCACTTAGTTTAGATTTATATTATTTGAATTAGATTTCCTATTCCAATTATGATTAGGAATTATAGTATTACAAATATATCATTAATTTTGTATCAAGCAATTAATTCAATCAAATCTTATTTGTTATTCTCCCTATTTGCTCTTCTCCCCTAAAAGCTAGCATGGTATTAGAGTCAGGTTAGTTGAGGTAATCAAATATGGAACACAATAGGGAGGAGGATTAGGAAGAAGATACAGATTGTATGAAGAAAATATGCAGGAAGTTGGAGAAGAAGAAAAGTAATGTTGATGTATTGTCGCTACGGGTTTGCGACGTGGAGCGGCCGACTTTCTTTCCGAGAGGAGAAAAATGGAGTCGCCACCAGTTTTTATTTATAAGGTGTGACTAGGCACCCAAATGTATGAATAAGTTGATCTACACAAAAAGATTTAGGTTTGGGGGTCTTTTGTGTATAGGGAAGGTATTAGCACCCCACAACACTTTGTTCAATGAACGATAATTTATTTTTTTATATTATTTTTAAGAAAATGACCTTTAAAAAATATTTTATTTTTATTTTTAAATGTCCCACGTTTTATTGATCATTGTAAATAATGGAATTATGAGTGGCCTAAAGCCATTAAGAAAATTTTGTTTATTTGAATTTAAATTGGCCTCCCAAAATAAATTCATCACAAGAATATCAGAGAATCGACCTCTCGAATTCTCTCATCTCCGTCATAGGGAATTTTTTTTAGGAAAATATTAAAATAAGATTTAGAAAAAGATTTTATTTTTGACTTTTAGAAATATCATGAGTGTTTTAAAAAATGTCAGCTTTTAAGCAGGAAATGCCTTTGTAGAGATGTTTTTTTTATCATTTAAATGTTTCTTTTAGCAAATTTTTTCTTATAAAAAAGATTTACAAAAACGAAATATATTTTTATTTTTTAAAGAAAAGATATTTATTTGCTTCAAAATGTGAATGTTTTTTAGGAAAAAGAAATGCAAACAATTTTGTATTAGTATTTCAATTACTTTTTAAAACCAAACAAGGGATAAATGAGAAAATGACTAAAAATACATCATTCCATTAGGAAACATATTAAAATCAAATCTTGGCATCCCGAAATATTGATCTTTACCCTCAAGAATACAAGAACATCGACCTCCCGAACATTTCAAGGTTTCATCGTTGGGAGGTTCACTTTTGTAAAATTTGAGTTGAAGATATTTAATTAAATCTAGAAAAATAACATTTATTGTATAATATTACATAATATATACATTTGCCAAATATCATATACATAATCTAAATGAACATGTTAGAAATATAATCAATAAAATCTCATCTTACAAATAGTTCAAGCAACCATAATATGAAATTGACAATAGGGAAAAGGAAAAACAAGACGAAATAAAACAAGATAAGAAATATATCCAAAAAATAATGTCGAAAGAATTAAACTTGTACTTGGAACATAGGTAGGCACACAAAATATATGACGAAGTACATCAACCTACTTTATTCGGCAAGAACATGAAAACTTACCGTTTTGCAAGCAAATTCCAATTCTTACCTCCTTCAAATGCGGTGCGAGTCAAACGATGAAGAAGAAAATTATGGAGAAAATAGTGATACAGCAAAAATTGAGAGAAAGTGAATAAGGAGAGGGGAAAAAAATAAAACAAAAGTAGTAAAAAAAAGTAAGAAGATGAAAAAGTTATGGTAAGTGGAAGAGAGAAAATAAATAAATAAAAATAGAAAACGAGAGAGAGACCATGTGGTGGATTGTGAAGAACAGAGTGTGAAGTGGTGAGAGAGAATTTGTGGATGAACGATAAAGTAACAAACAAGAGGAAGAAAAAAAAAAAAACAAAAAGGAAGCAAATTTAAGAGAGAGCAAAAAATGAGAGTAGTAGCCTTTGTTTGATGTGTTTCTTCGTCCTACTAAACCTCACCACCTAGTTTTTATTTATAGTGTTTCAAAACCCTAATCCACCAATAGAAAAAATATTTTCATTCATTACACAATCAATAAAATCCTATGACTTTTTTACAAATTTTAATTTTTACCCAAATTATGCTAAATCAAATTTAAAAATTTTCCATATGAGTAAGATTTTGTTTTATTTTTATTGAAAAGATTTTATTTTGAGAAAACGTGGAAATTCACGTTTAATCCAAAAAATCTTTTTGATTTTATTACCTTTTCTTAATTGTATTTAAA